AAATGGCTAAGCCGTGGGTCGACCCCATCACAGTTGGTAGCCGCCATCACATCGCTCCGTCTGATTTTATGCAATTTTCCCATTGTCTTTAGATCGGATTAAGATAAGTAGCTCGTCGCATCCAGTTAAGGCCATTTCGGAGTTTGTGGACCCCAAGTTCATTCCGAAGGTAACAAAAATCCAGGAAGAAATCTGAAAATTCCGCGCATATGCCAAGTTGTCGTGAAACCATCTGAGCTGTTTCACGAAGTTCCTTTCAGGAGTATGGTGGTGATGGAGAGCTCGAGCCTGTCATATGGGGACAAAGATATCTCCAATGTGACGAAGACATTCCCCTGCCTAAGCTGCGCTTGGTAAACTTCACGCGCCACGAAATGACCCGTGTATCACCTTATTCATCTGTTCAGGTTAGCGATGGTGACATTTGGCCGGCAGCTCCCCAGAAGGAGGAATGGAACTTGTTGCCGGAGATGCCCGTGAGGCATCAATCGTCGAAGTAGATTGCTGTTAAGATAGTGGACGATCTGATAGCGCCTTATGCAATGAATACGGAATTCCGCCACCCTTTCAAGTTAAACTACTGAGTTCATCACGAAGCTTCTGAGAATGGTGTGGTATTGTGTTTAGAGAAATATTTCGAAACTTATTGTCGTTGTAGTTGTTGGTGAGTGGGATGAGAACTTCTTATTCTTGGCATCGTTGAGATGTGAATTCGGCGATTACTGGTGGACTTTTACAAGGAGCCTCTCAAGTCGCGGTTTGTTATCACATTGATAACGCAGATAGTGATAATATCGTTTTGTTCGAGAAGCTTATTCACATGGACATCCCTGATATCGTCTCTAGCGCATTAGTCCAGTAAACTGTGCCTCTCCCTGTCTAAAGAAATGTGGCAAAATCGCATTGCTAGTGATTGTGTTGTCTGATCTTGAGTAACTTTCTATTGCTCTTCGGCGATCGACGACTCTTGAACTAGTGTAAACGATGTGCTGTGTATTTTCAATATCAATTATGTTTCGTTATGATGGGAAAACTGGATGGAAGAGATTCTGATTGCAGCTCTTGATCGTATGGGAA